CTGTTTTCTCCTCCACAGATGCTGCCAGACCTGCTGAGCTTTTCCAGCAACTTTGTTTTTGTTCCTGATTTACAGCATCCGCAGTTCTTTTGGTTTTTATTGCATATTTTATGTTTCTCCCCACCAAAAACACAGTAAGCTTAGGGGCCATAAAATCCTTCTTATAATGGAAAGTCTGACTTCTGATTAAAGGTAATGATCTGAAAAGTTAACTCTGTCTCCCCATAACTGCTGCTAGACTTGCTGACCTTCTCCATGGTTCTTCATTTTTATGACTATAACAGCACAGGTTGAAATATTATATTTGTACATCTGAGGCAACAAAGGCATATTTTTCCAGATAAAAGTATGTGAAACTGATAGAACTTACATTTTCTGTCTGGTTTGAGATTACGGTTGACTGGAGGTGGCAGCAAATCTCCAGGAAAGTTGGGTTTATGGCAGAGAGATGCCGAACTTCCTTTGCGTGTGGGGAATGTTGCTGAGGAGAATCCGGGGAAGTCAAAGTGGTGTGGACCAGGACTCATGGGTATGTAGACATCCTGACAACTCTCTACAGTGGTTGTAACAAATGAAGATAAGGAACCTGGGTTCATTGGCACATAGTTATCTTCTGATTCCAAACTTTCTGAGCGGGATGCTGTGCATGTTGATCTCTGTGAAAACATACAATGTTTTTCAACTTCCTAACCAGAAATAAATGTGTTTGACTGTGTTCCGTATAACTTTGTATTTTGTAATGTGTTTAGATTTCTCGTTCCAGAATGCTAGTGAATTAACATTATGTATCTTCAATTTCTCACAATGCCTCAGTTTAAAAGAGGATCACAAATTAGGCAGAAAGGTTGATAAATTCCAGGTGCAAAATGACAACTGGGTAGATAAACAAAGTGTGAAATTAATTGACAATAACTTGTATTTATAAAGCACTTCTAAGGTAATAAAATATCTCAAGATGCTTCACAGGAATTATAAAGTAATATTTATCACCATATTATTTTAGGAGATATTAGGTCAGATGAACAAAATGTTGGTCAAATAGTTTTTAAAGAACAACTTATATGAGAAAAAAGATAAAGAGACAGAAAGGTATCTGAAGGAATTTCCAGAATATGGAGCCTAATTAACTCAGAAGGCATGGCCACCAGTGGTGGAGCTATTAACATTTGTAATGCTCAACAGACAGAATTACAGGAGCTTTTATATGTTGGAGGGCTGTAGGTTGGAGATTACAGAGATAGGAAAGGGTAAAGCCTTGGAGAGATCTGAAAGAAATGATGAGAATGTTAAAATCAAGGGATGACTTAATCAGGAACCAACACAGGTCAGAAAGCAAAGAGACTTGGTGTAAGTTAGGGCAGGAGCAGAGTTTGGATGATCTCAACTTTATAGAGGGTGCCTATGAGAGGGTAGTCAACTCTGAGGTAACAAAGACATGAATGAGGGTTTCCATAGATAAACTGAGGCTGGGATAGAAGTTAGAAAATAATCTGTAGGGAATAGTGCAGCCCATTACAAAACTTTATTTCTGTGGAAATTTCAACTCTATATTACATGCACAGAAATTGCAAATAATTAATAGAAAAATAAAATTTCAAGTGGTTGTATGTATAACAAAATATGGAAAGCCTTGATTTGTCTTGCAGACAAGTATGTACAAAAGGAAACCAATAATGCATCTCACACTCTTTAGTCATTCGTCTGGCCATTGGTATTTTCTGATACTCTTACACATAGTTGAAATGTTTAAATATTATTCATATATGCTAATTCTCAAAAAGCAGACAACTTTAAAAACAATACTTGGCACAAGGGAATATGGGAACAGAGAGACTGAGGGTCACAGATCACTACCTGGGCAGCAGTGCTGAAAGAAGGTCAATGACCTTCACTGTGCCTTCAAGGTGAATGCCATTGTTATTCTTTGCTGCCTCACGCTTGCTTGATCCCTGCTACAGTACCCATCTCCCACCAAGGCTTCTGCTCTGACATTCCCTCTGTTGTGTGCTACCCCCCTTACCCCGCCATTTTCCCACACCACTAACTCTGAATCCACTCTGTGTTGCCTCCTCACTCCCTTGGAGCATCTCATATCTTTCCCCCACAGCCGTGCCATGCACTTGAGTCTCACACATTTGCCTCTTTTATGCCAATACAGAAGAAGGCATAGAGGGATACAGCTTGGAAATAGACCCTTCATCCAACTCATGTGCGCTGACCAGACATCCCGATCTGACAAAGTTCCATTTGCCAGCATTTGGCCCATATCATTCTAAACGCTTCCTATTCATATGCCCATACAGATGCCTTTTAGATGTTGTAATCGTACCAGCCTCCACCACTTCCTCTGGCAGCTCATTCCATATACACAGCACCCTCTGCGTAAAAAAGTTACTCCTTAGGTCCTTTACAAATCTTTCCCCTCTCACCTTAAATCTATGCCCTCTAGTTTTGGACTCCCTCACCCTAGGATAAAGACCTTGACTATTTTCACCCTACATACCCCACATGATTTTATAAACCTCAATAAGGTCACCCCTCAGCCTCCGATACTCCAGGGAAAAACTCCCAGCCTATTCAGCCTCTGCCTATAGCTCAAACCAGGGCAGAGAAAAGTAAACAGATTGAGAGAGGGGGCGGTTTCCAGGTATCAGCGTCCTTCCGCCCCCCACCATGAAGACAGGATACTCACTCTGGTGAGGGAAGATGGGGACTGCAGAGATGTCCAGGTCCCAGCAACTGAGTGGGCACCACTTGTCATAGCACTGAAATACAGCAGTGAATTCACCAGGCCTTCAGTGTGCTATACTGGGCACTGCCTCTGACCAGTGGCTGCAAGACTCCTCCTGCCTTCTGTGTTTTACAGCTGCAGCTGGTTAGCTGAGCACATCAGCTAAGAAGCAGCCATTTCCCCAAAGGGGGTGGGGAGGGGAACGGGGGTGGAGAGACCTCCTTGACCTTGGAGGAAGAGACTGTTCAGGGGATGGAGGTACCGTTGGCATGACTACACATTGGAGTCCCCGCCATCGATGACACTGAACTGTTAGGGGTTGAGGGGGTGGGGGTGGGGGTGGGGGTGGGGTGGGACTGCTCAATAGACAAAGGAAATGTGGAATAGGTGGCTACTGAGGAGCTCACACACACAGTTATGAAGTTGGGTGAGAGAGAGAATCGCCCCAGGACACTGGCACTTGTATTTGGCCAGGCACCTGTTTAGCCTTGCAGCAGGAGAAGACCCTGTGGTCCCAGTAATGAGGGGCTTCATGGACATGTTTAGAGAAGAGCAAGATTGGCAGGCACGAGTATGGGTTATCAATGGCTCATTGATAAGCTGCAGCGTTATGACCAGTCCAGTGACTGTCTGGCTGCCTCCATCGACAGGTTGGCAGCTGCCCTGTAGAGATAGGCCCAGTTTCCCCCCAGCACTCCCCACCATCCCAGGGGATGCTGTAGAATCAATGTACATCTGCCCTCCATTGCCTCAGGACCAAAACTGGGCTTGGCGGGTTGGGGGAGGCGGGTGTTGTGTGGGGTGGTTAGGAAGCAATAGCCATGGTCCTCACCTGGAATCAGGAAGGTATTATGCTGGAGGAGGAGCCACACACAGGTCCCTTAGCAACAGACTGCAGATATATCCAGCCCGCCACCTCCTCTCTACCTGGCCCACTACAATCCTTGGAAGTTCAGGCCAGGAAGGGTCATGGAAAAACCTTGGCACAGCTGGTCTGTCTGGATAAAAACGGCCCTCCCAGGGTTACCCCACCAAATCTTCCAGGTCAACAACTCCATCCATTACAGAGCAGGCCCCCTCCACTCTATCTGTGAAAATGGAGAGCTCAGTGAGAGGCAGCAAGAGGGCAGGTGAAGCAAGGTTTGATCATGGTGTGTGGGGCTCACAGCTGACATTAGTACATAGTTTGAATCTGTGATCAAGGTTTGTTTTTCACTGTTCATGTCATTGTCTGTGTCTCTCTGTAGGGTCTAGATGCTTCCTTGTGACCTGCAGCATCACTCTCTAGTCACTGAGGATCCACTATAATGATCCTCAGTAATACACTGAGTACCAATTCCATCATGTGGGAGCAGGGTTAGCAAAGTATGTACTTGGCATTGACTCCCTCCAAAACCTCAGATTCTCTGCCCTCCCACTCTGTCCAGTTTTTGCCTGGCTGGGTGCATAGCAATGTCTATCTCAGGCAGTTCCCCAGCAGTGACCATGCCAGAGTGGGGTACAACACAGCGAGAGTCTATGATGCCTGATGGCCGGGGAGTACACAGTCTGTGTCATGTGTCCAACTCCAGTGTTTTCCTCTTGTGGACACAGTGTCACTGGTTGTAGATGTAGACCCCTCCCCTCACACTGCGGCTCACTTAACACTCACGTTACGAGAGCCCATCAACCCCAAGGGTTTCACACTTTCCCAGTTCATACATACAGTTATACAGCATGAAAACAGACCATTCGGTCCAACTTGTCCATGCCAGATAACATCACCCCATCCGGGTATATATACCTACAAATTCCTCACATCCCCCCCTTTCTTTCTTCACGTCTGTGAACAATGGTGACAGGATGACCGTGACCCATACCCTTGGGCAACTTGACTGGCTATTCCTGGCCAACATGTGCAAGACTCCTAATCGGTGGATAGTCTTGTCGCTGTCAGCGGCAGATCTTCCCCAGCCTGGGTCTCCAATGTGCCAAAGGATTGACCATGACCAGCTCCCAGGAACACAAAGCACCCCCATTGGTCACCTGACCATGGCCAATGCCCAGGCCTGGTATGGGAGGCTGCCCTTGACTAACTGCTCTGGACTCCTCTCTCTGATGGATGCCTGCATGGAGTTAGGGGCCACTCCCTGAGGACGTTCAGACATGCCCCACTGCTTGCTGCAGATGCAATGGGTTTCGCGCGATCAGTAATGCCATCTGGTACAGGTACAGCCTGACATTACTCATTGATGTACAAGAAGATGTGGGCACCTTTGACTGAGCACTGCTGTACAGCACAGCCACTTCCCTGGTTGTGTGATAGTGCCATTGCCCGTGCAAGGCAAGACAAGGCGTGCATGCTCTGGGCATGCTGGTGGGCACCAGGTGAATGCTTGTTGGGTGAACAAGGGAGCAGCCCAGGTGGGCAGCCTAATTCATGCCAAGTTTACTGTAGCCTGAAGCAGCTGTGTACTGCTGGTTGCCTGTGTGCCCTACTTCACAGGTGTGTGATTACAGCATACCATGCCAGGGCATTACGTAGATGCCAAGATGATGATAATAGCTTCCTGATAATTGGGTGCCAGTGTCCATAGTGAAAAGTTGCATGTGGCTGGCATGGTGGACCATGCTGTACTCTGCAGTTAGGTAGATTTGTGTCAGAATGAGCACTATCGATGAGAAGGTGTTTCAAGATCAAGTTGTAAAAACAAAGGAAGTGCAATTTAGCAAATATTATTTGTATGTTAAGTAAATTACAGCAAAATATTGAAAAAAAGGTTTTATGTTGTTCAAACAATCTTATAATTCATCATTTGGAACTGCATTTTTCAAATGGAGGGGGTAATGTGATTTTTGCGAAGTCTGTCTCACAACAGGTTTGGTGTGGTAAAGATCAAAGAGAGGTCCTGACAGCACGAGGATGATGGTATAGGGTGTGCATGGCTGAAACAATGGCAATAAATTTCAGTGGGTGAACTCTGAGTCTATCAAGGTTCCTGAAATTTGTTGGAAGCGTTGAGTTGTAGGTAGTTGTTTTGTAATCTGTCCATTTACTTCTAAAATGGAAGACACTTCAGCTCAAGAACAGGTGATCACCATTTCTACTTAAATGCATGAGGAAGAATACAGTAGAAGTCACTTTTGAGATCAGACTACAGGCTTCCCTACAAATCAATTAATATCACAGACAGACAGCAGCTTTGTGTGGTTAGCAGGCAGCAAAGTGCTTGACTTAGTTGTCTACTGCAGCCAGGCATGAGAGGTAAACAGTCTGTACTTAGATAAATAAGTTATCCTAGCATAGCTAGAAGGAAAGAAACAATGGGGCAGGTTTTACAGTAAATAGTGGATTTAGGAAATTCTCCTTTAACTAAGGAAGGCACTGATGGGAGGACTCTTGAAATTACTATTCAGTGAAAGAGGGGACTGTCAGCACATTGGAAGCTGGGAGCAACTCTGTGGGCTGTTTGCTGCATTGTTTTAATTCCCTAAAGAAAGAGAGAGTTAGGTGACAAGTATAGAGGGGATTTTTACTTTCTATTGTTTAAATTACAAGCTGCCTATAAAAAGTATTGACTTCAGTACTTTTAGCCATTTGTTACTATAAAATGCTTAAAACCAAAGTCTTGACGCATCATTCTTTTTAGTTATTAACTGTAAATTCAAATTTCTTTCTAAACTCATCGGTTTCTGTGGAGTTCTTAACAAGATACAAAATTTGACAGAGAGAGAGAGAGATATGGAGCAGTTCAGGATAGTAGTGCATCACAATTAATATAAAGAGCCATTAAGTTGTGAACATATTACTTCTTTATGCTCCTTACCAAGTAAGAGCTGAATCCATCATTAACAGACTCCATCGAGAGGCCTTCGTTATTAGTAGCGTGACGGGGATAATCATATGTTTCACATGAAGAAGCTAGTTGGAAGAAATTTTACACAAGACTGAATCACCAGAGAAATGGGACCGTGTTATTTTTCAGTTAAACACAGTAATTCATCCCTTCTTCAGAAAGATACACAGAAGGGTGTATGTTTTGATTTAATGTTACTGGTGGGAACCCTCAACTGCCTGCAGCAAAATCAAAAAGTGTGCGCGTCAGAACTTCAAATTCAACCATTAACAGCAAGATGGTGAATGGTGCAAGTCTGAACTTTTGATATATGCTGCAGGCTGGTGAGACACAGAACACTTCCATTTTATAGAACCATACATTCAAATTAAAACATCATTTCAAAATTAAATCACTAAAGAATAAGTTACGTAAGAAATGCACAATTGTACATCCCCATTTTGCTTATTAAATGAGTTATTCATGTATCTTGTCAGTAAGAAATTATAACCCATTACAACAGACTCATAAATCAGGAATTGGCTCAGGGCTTACCTGATTTGCTATTGAATCTTTGAGATAAGATTTGCAGAAACCCAGATGAACAGGGCTAACTATGGTTTCTGCTGATTGTCGCAGTTATAGGGACCTATTAAGAATAGTCCCGACTGAGGAAGTTCCCTGTATCATCATATAATACTTATCTCCCGAGTTCTGACTTTCAAATTAGTTTAACACTGGTCTCTGCAGTGTAAACATTACTTCATTTGGTTTGTTGCTAAGTTGCTCCCTTATTTTCTGTTCTTCTTCCCTATAGGCCTTTTATTACCCCCAAACCACAACCTTCTTGCACCATGAAGATAATGCATAGCCTGTTTCCAAATTACAATCAAAGGGACTCTCACTTGACTATTCACAGACAGAACTGCAGTTTTAATATTCTTCCAAACAGAAAAGCATTTGCCTGCTCAGTAATTCTCCAAAGATCTACGAGAGCAATCAGTGACTCAGCACATGTTTGGGTCTTTCTGTTTTGTATTGCTGCAAATTGTATATGCGCCAGTGCACAGAACCAGAATATTGCTATTATCTTACTGCTTATTTTCACGAAAGGGTGTGGCGTCTAGTGTCACATCACCAACAGACTGCTGTCTACCCATCTGCACTGCTGGACTTTTAAACTCTAGAATCTGGGGAAAAAAAATTGATACTATAGGTTTCAGTCTCATTTCTGCAGTACGTTATGGAATCTTATGGGGTCAAAGGCAGAGAATGCCAAGATAATCAATAAAAACAATGTTTTAACAAATATCTGCACCTAAGCTGTTTTTAACCTATTTCCCTCGATAGATGCTTTTTGATTTGTGTATTTGCAGTGTTTCATCTTCGTATCTCAGACTTGCAGCTTGTGAAGTCTTTGCTTCTTTAAAATTTTAAAGTGAAGGAGACATTATGGAATGTGACGGTGAACAGATTGAAGTTCTATCTAGCAACTTCCAGTCAGGGGTTAAAATACCTGGAGCTATGTGGCTACTTTACAGTGTTAAAAAAAACTCTTATAATTTGAAGCCATTACCTCTGTGTAGTCTGTTGTTATCCACTGCTGGAAGGGTATTTCTTCTAGGGATTGTAGCTGCAGACAATGCTTGTTTTCCTTTGCTATTGCGAGTGTATTGCTTAGGGCTACCCCAGTCTGGCTTCCGATCTATCTGAACAGGCTTTGGTGGCCGTGGAGGAGGTGCAGCTGCTGAATCACCAGAGCTCGTGGATAGCGGGTTGTGGTTTCTGTCAAAAGTGAATGTCCTTGGAATATTGTAGCAGGACATCGGCGTTGATGGAATATCATAGGAGTCTGTGGAAATCTCACTAAGTCTTCTACAAAGAGTGCTATTGGGAGTGTTAAACGTGTACACCTCTTCGTCATCATTGTCGAACCCAGGTGAGCCAAATTTGGCCGCACCGTCATATCCCAGACTCCTAGGCAAATCATAAGCAGTGGTGTCCCTTTGTTCTATGTGCTGTTTCTCTGGTTTTGGTAAAATGTGAAAGCCATGTATTTGCTCACTGACCCCATTGACACAATGTGAATTTGCTTGTGATAACTTCTCTGAGGTTGTGTCTCCATCTCTCTTTGCGGTACCATGCAATTGTACAGACTGAGAAAAACTGGCACTCCTGGATAATACAACCAGAAACAAATAGCAATGAGGTTAGTGCTTACTGATCATGCTCAAAGTATCTCTTTTACTTTCATCAGCAAACATTATAGTTTCCAGCTCAGCCGTAATGGTGAGTTTAATAACTAAAGTATATATCCAAACTGTACAATGCTGCATTGCAATGGAAATGAGCAACTGCACCAATTGAAAAGGTGGAGAATTTATAGAGAATGTTTTCAATGAACATATCAAAAGATAAATTGAGGCGCTGCCATTTAGTACCATATGTGAAAACACATGCAACAGCATTTAAAATGATTAATAAAAGTTCATGTTAACAGCAAAGTTTCAAAGTTTACAATGTTTTCCTCAAGTGTAATTTGATTCCTACAGTCAGTGGATCTTGTTTTCACAGATTTCTGAGCTGTTTCCAAACTTTGCTTAAACTCAACTCCAGCTGATTTGCTATAAGTAAGCAACATTTTATTACCAAATGTCACATCTCTCAGAAAATCATCTTGATTTGTATCCTCTAATTCACAATTAAATGTGTTAGCAGGAAGAAATTTTCCAAAGCTATCTCATGGCTCAGAGGGGGAAATACAATGGGTGTAATTTAGGTGTTTTTGGCTAAGTCTGAGTTGCACTGAGTTTTATCGAGGATTTGTTGGCATGAGGCCTAGCAAGTACTGTCACTGTATCTTATAGATACCTGCCCAACAGCTGGATTCCTTTATGCCTGCACCATCTTTATCATCGTCTATACAAATTAGAGACAGGAATGTCAGTGTATTGCTACTAAGTGCTCTCTTCTGTTTTCTAGACATGTTTATGTCATTCACAAGTTGATCATTGTAATCTCGCAGTACTGGGCTTTTATCATTAGAGGGCACCAGTGAACAGTATAAATTTTTGAGCATGTTTCAATGTTTCAGCTTTTCTCCATCGGCTATAAGGCTTCTACATGGACATTTTCAGTAGAATTTGAACTTTAAACAGCAAGTTTGAATTTTTGTCCATGGAACATTTAGTTGCTGCTGTTTTCTAAGTACTGAAGTTCTGCACCAATGAGAAATTAGGCTGGGTCATGCACAGATTACAATGTAAACTTCTATCAAGCTTGCAGCCATAAATAACCACAGGGGTGGGAGAAGACTTAACATTCAACGGAAGAACTGCTTGTTGCAAACACAAATACACTGTGAACTGGATTGATATTGGCCAAACTCATTTCACTCAGTCATTTGGAAAAATAATGAAGAGCAACCAGGGAGCAAACCTTCCTTCTAAATAATCAGTCTTGCCATCTGCTGCAAGTTAATGTTTATGAGTTCAGCTCCAGCTGCCTGTTGTGATTTAACACATGCAAAAAATAGCCCAACTTTGTTCCACGTTCTGATGATTGTACACAATGTGAGTCAGACAGCAATGCTGTCATGTTAGTATACAGCTTGGAAATTCATACCTAGCATTCTCTGTTTTCTTGCTCATGCACTGGTGGAGAAAGAGGTAGTCCTGTGGTGCACTGGACGAAAGGATGGGCTGGGCCTGGATTGGGTTTTCAAATGTAAACACTGATGGTTGACTGGCATGTGAAGAGCTGTGTGTGCTGTGGTCTCCTACTAGAGCTTGAGCAGAACCACCAAAATCAACAACGGATGAGCGGGGAGCCTGAGATCCAATTGCAGCATTCCTGGTGACATCTATATTGAAAAGAAATGAATCCTTTCATTATTGGGTTTCTTAATAACCCAAATGCTAAAATGTTAACAATAGAAATAAAGTAATCCATGTCAAGGAGATATTTATTCAGTATAAATTACAACAAATTGCCAGTCTTATGTGAAATTCAGTATAAGAGAGTAATATTACCATTTACTTCAACTTCTTCAGCTATAATTTGTGATAATGCTAAAGTTATCTTGGTCTGATGACAGAATAAGTCACAGATTTAAGCTTGCCAATGTCTACTTTAGGATTTTTTTTACACTTTAAAAGTGTTTTCTAATCCTCATTCATACTGTGCCATTGCTTAGTTAACTTATTCATCTCTAATTAAGCTTTACATACCTAGCATCCTAATCTGCCACCCTTGGGCATATTTTAGCCTCAACTAAAACCCTCTTACACATGGAAAGTTCCAGTAGGCATTGACAGAGTGGCTTTAATACAGCATGGAGGCCTGATAGACCACCTGCCATTTGTGAGCAACCCTCAGCACATTCTAGCCTGTTCCAGGATGACTCAAAGATAGGCATATGTAGGTTAACTGGGAGTGGGGAAAATTGCTCATCGGCCTGCCTCTAATCCTACATCTGCACCCAAATGTCCAATTTGTCCATCAGTAGATCTCTGTTCAAAATTTAACAACAGATATCTTCCAGAGTCACAGACATCAAATGTCAGGAAACTGGGCTTCAAGATAGGTTTAAAGCTGCCAAAGGTCAGTTTGTTCAATGATGCTCCTTCTCAACCCTATGGTACACCAGATTTTGGCTGACTGTCCATTCACTTGGCCCCAGTGCTGATCCTACTTTGGTTGCGACAATGTTTTCAAAAACAGCAAAGGTATTGCAAAGCAAAAATGCTTGTTAGAAACCTGCGGCAATGAATTACTTTTCTGTAATAGGTAATCACCTTCGCAGCTTCATCCCTCGCCTGAGGCATGGTGACCTTCATGTTAAACTCACTACCAGTCGTGTCTCTCTGATGAGAGAGCAGTCCCATGGTCCTCTGGGAGAATGGCGACTTTACCTTGTTAGGTAATATTGTAGCGGAGTGAGGCCTGAGACCTTCAGCAGTCTCAAAGTGGCCAATCAGCACGAAGGACATTGGGGATCTGCACAAGACTGTGGAAACATTAATGGACCTCAAAAATTATTGAAGAAGCCGCTTCATCGTGAGATTGAGTGCCTGAGTAATGCTCCAGCCCACGTGGAAAACTGATTTGTGGTTTATTTGCCCTTGTGCTCCTCATGGCTAAACAAATCTCTTAGCACTGAACAAGGAGAATGTTCCAGAATATAAGGCTGAGACAATAAAAGGTATTATCACTAGATGTGGATTTGAGGGATACCCTGGAGGCTAGTCAAGGTGAAAAGGAGCGAGAGGATTTTGTACAGGCTGGATGAGTTGAGATCCAGGTCATCTAGAAATGAAGATTAGAATTTTTCATTTAACACATTGGGGACAGTGTGGTTAGTGAGGTCAGAACATGGGAGACAACGTAAGTGGTGGATGGAACAAATCCACCTTCACCAAAAATATAAAATTAACTGTATACGTGACAGTTACATTGAGTCAGGACATTTTAATTTCACAAATCACATCCTTGTATAATGGAAAAGTCAAAGCATTACCACCTTAGATAAAATACGATCAGCTCGTTATTATCTGTATCTTTTGAGATCATCCAGGTTCAGAGTTTCTGAGGACTGCACATTAGTCACTGAATGTGAAATTCAGTAAAAGCATTCATTCCCCAGAGGAAGAGTGAGTCATCAATGTTTAAAACAACTAGGCATTGATTTCTTAAAGGATTTACTGCGTGAGTACCCTTTCTGTCCGGGACAACTGAAAGCATTCATTCAAATGACCGAAACCTATTTAGCTGGTCAATTATTTTTTTCCTTGTCAAAAATCAAATTTGAGCAAGAGAAACAGAAAAAAATCTTGTGTATTACTGTGCTTTTAAGATTTCTGTAGAAAGAATTATGTTCTATTTCTGCATTGTTTTGGTTTGGACGGGCTTTGCAGTAAACATCAAAGAAAATCAAAAATATACTTCCTTTAAAGGTAGGAGTTTATGAAAATTTAGATTCAAAGAATCCCTACAGTGCAGAAAGAGGCCACTCAGCCCATAGAGTCTGCACTGACCTCCAAAGAACATCCTACCCAGACCAACCCCACTCCGTATGAGCTTTTTACCGTGGCTAATCCACCTAACCTGCATATAAGACATAGGAGCAGAAATTAGGCCATTCAACCCATCGAGTCTGCTCCACCATTCAATCATGGCTGATAAGTTTCTCAACCCATTCTCCTGCTTTCTCCCCGTAACCCTTGATCCCCTTGACAATCAAGAATCTATCTATCTCCGTCTTAAATGTACTCAATGACCTGGCCTCCACAGCCTTCTGTGGCAGTGAATTCCATAGATTCACCACTCTCTGGATGAAGAAGTTTCTCCTTATCTTTGTTCTAAAAGGTCTTCCCTTTACTCTAAGGCTGTGCCCTTGGGTTCTAGTCTCTCCTACCAATGGAAATATCTTTCCAACATCTACTCTGTCCAGGCCATTCAGTATTCTGCAAGTTTCAATTAGATCCCCCCCTCATCCTTCTAAACTCCATCGAGTATAGACCCAGAGTCCTCAAACATTCCTCATATGTTAAGCTTTTCATTCCTGGGACCATTCTTGTGAATCTCCTCTGAACCCACTCCAGGGCCAATACATCCTTCCTGAGATATGGGGCCCAAAACTGCACACAATACTCCAAATGTGGCCTGACCAAAGCCTTATAAAGCCTCAGAAATACATCCCAGCTTTTATATTCAAGTCCTCTCAAAATAAATGCCAAAGTTGCATTTGCCTTCCTAATTACTGACTCAACCTGCAAGTTTATCCTAAACTCCCAAGTCTCTTTGCACTTCAGACTTCTGAATTTTCTTCCCATTTAGAAAATAGTCCATGCTTTTATTCTTCTTACCAAAGCACACGACTTCACACTTTCCCACGTTGTACTCCATCTGCCATTTCTTTGTCCACTCTCCTAACCTGTCCAAATCCTTCTTCAGCCTCCCTGCATCCTCAATACTACCTGTCCCTCCACCTATCTTTGTATAATCTGCAAACTTAGCCAGAATATCCTCAGTTTCTTCATCTAGATCATTAATGTATAAAGTGAAAAGTTGTGGTCCCAACACTGACTTGTCACCAGCTGCCATCCTGAGAAAGACCCTTTTAACCTCACTCTCTGTTTTCTGCCAGACAGCCAGTCTTCTATCCATGCTAGTACCTTGCCTCTAAGACCATGGGCCCTTATCTTACTCAGCAGCCTCCTGTGTGGTACCTTGGCAAAAGCCTTCTTGAAGTCCAGGTAGATAACATCCATTGGCTCTCCTTGGTCTAACCTGCTTGCTACATCCTCAAAGAATTCTAACAGATTTGTCAGGCCTGACTTCCCCTTGATGAAGCTGTGCTGACGTTGCCCTGCAGTGTGGAAACAGGCCCTTCGGCCCAACAAATCCACACAGACCCTCAGAACATCCCACCCAAACCCATCCCCCTATAACCCACTTAATCTTCCAAGTGTTCAAAAATCTCATCCTTCACAATGGACTCTAAAATCTTACCCATGACCGAGGTTAGGCTAATCAGCCTGTAATTTTTCGTCTTTTGCCTTACTCCTTTTTTAATCAAGGGTGTCACATTAGCGATTTTCCAGTCCTCTGGGACCCCCCTAAATCTAGTGATTCTTGAAAGATTGCCACTAACACCTCCACTATCTCTTCAGCTACATCTTTGGACTGTAGGAGGAAGCTGGAGCACCTGGAGGAAACCCACGCTGACATGGGAAGAATGGCAGTACGATGACTCAGTGGTTAGCACTGTGGCCTCACAGCACCAGGGACCTGAGTTTGATTCCAGCCCTGGGTGACTGTGGAGGTTGACAATTCTCCCCATATCTCTGTGGGTTTCCTCTGAGTCCTCCGGTTTCCTCCCACAGCCCAAAGATCTACAGGTTAGGTGGCTTGACCAGTCTAAATTGTCCATAGTGTCCAGGAATGTGCTGGCTAAGTGAATTAGTCCTGGAGAATGCAGGGTTGCAGTGATAGGGTAAGGGTTGGGTCTGGGTGGGATGCTCTTCAGAGGGTGGTGTGAATTCGATGGGCCAAATGGCCCACTTTCACATTGTAGGGATTCTATTAAAAATAAATGTGCAAACTCTACACAGTCACCTAAAGCTGGAATCAAACCCATGTCCTTGGTGCTGTGAGGTAGCAGTTGCTAACCACTGAGCCACCATGCCACCCAGAAACACGTTGAAGCAATTGTGGTATGCATTATACTTGTCAGACATGTAATAACATGAGCATCTGGTCCTTTGAGGACACAATGGTCAATGTTCTTCTAGCTAACATGTCAAAGTGAGAGCCTGCCCACAGGCCTGAGAGCTGCAAAGCAGTAAACCAATGTCAGGAGCAGTGTTAATTGCTGTAAGACAAGACCTCAGCCCCTGCTGGCCACTTGGTCAAATGGTAACTCTGTGGTTGTATTATCTCCACGAGGAGCAGAGACCTCTGCTGGGTATAAAGGCTGTCCTAATAACCCAGGGAGCCAAGATAAGTCCATAATTAGAGGGCCTTAGTAGGGGCTGCCCATGGACACTGAAAAGTGGGTAAGGATGTAAGGCCAGCTTTAGAAGCCAGGGCAAGTGATAAATGGGGGATGACTCAGGAGTGTATGGGGTGTAGTGATGGGGTCGGGTGAGGTACCCCTGCTGACACCTAATGTACCACATGGTATGGACCACCCCTGCCATAGGTAAATACCAGCAGTTGTGGGAGAAGCTATTTAGTGCCAGTAATTACCACCTAAGGGCCTCAAAAGCCCAAGGGCAAATTGCCTCGTGTCTCCCCCAACACTGTAAACTTTCCCACAGGTAGGTAGGTGGTTAGGTATTACATATCCTTGCCTCTAAACCTGCCAGTGGGGGAGCATAAAATCCAGTCTCGGGATATAATCAATAGGAGCAGCAACAGGTCATAAAGCCCCCTCAAGCCTTCACCGTCATTTTAACACAATCCTGGTTGGT